AGATGGCAACATTAAACAAAAAAGAGGGGCTTAAGAAATGTAGACATAGATTTTTCATATGGAGAGGAAGTCAAGGCGATATAAAGAAATAAAAGACTGGTATAAACTTAGAAAAATAGGGGTAAATATTAAGGTAACCACAAAGTAAACTAACAATCCCACAAGTCAAAATAAAAAACTAGAAAAATATAAAGACTCAAGAGCTACGACTGGTAACCAAAAGGTCGGCAGTTCAAATCCACCAGGCACCCGTTGGAAACCATATGGAGCAGTTCTACTCTGTCTTATAGGGTCACTATAAGTCGGAATTGACTCAATGGCAACAGGTTTTACATGTACTCTGTAAGATAGTAGGTACATACTATTGGGGCTGGGGATATAGCAATGAATAATACAGTTGAGCTATTTGCCCCCAGGGAGCCTACATTCCAGAGGACTGAGAGGCACAGTAACAGAATGGTTAAGAGCATGCAAGCGCGGAGACTCAGTTTCATCAATTGTGAAATTGAGATATTGATATTATCCATCTCAGTGCGTTGTTGTGAAACTTAAATTTAAAAAAAAAAGCATGTAAAGTGTTTTAACTGGTGCTTGGCATATAGGAGACAATAATTTTTAACTATCATAATATTTATTATTAATAATTAGACCTTAACAATAAAGCACATTGGAAAGGCTTAGCAGAAAATAAATTTTTAAGGATTCCTTGCTAATTAATTGAGGTTTCCTGCTGACTTTCAAGATGTCATTTTACTTTTGATTCTTACAGTGCCACCTCTTTGTTTAATATCTGGACCAAATACGCCCCCCGGCTGCCAGCTGCCTATTACAACGAAAAGCTTCTGAAGGTTGGAGATAGCCTTTGTCAAATGAAAGTAAGTACCTCTGGAGTAAAAAGAACCAAAATAAAACTCATTTGGCTAGTTATTTTGTTATTGTTTGGTTACTATTTGTCTTAGTTATCTAGTGCTGGTATAACAGAAATACCACAAGTGGATGGCTTCAACAAACAAATTTATTTTCTCACAATTTAGGAGGCTAGAAATCCGAATTCGGGGTACCAGCTCTAGGGGAGGGCTTTCTGTCTGTGTCGGCTCTGGAGGAAGGTCCTTGTCTCTTCTGAGCTTCTGCTCCTGGAGAATCTTCATGTGGCTTGGCATCTCTCTTCCCCCATCTCTGCTCTGCTTGCTTGTTTAGTCTTTTATATGTCAAAAGAGATTGACTCAAGGCATACCCTACACTAATCCTACCTCATTAACATAACAAAGACAACTCATTCCCAAATGGGATTATAACCACAGGCATAGAGGTTAAGATTTACAGCACATATTTTGGAGGGACATAATTCAATCCATAACACCATTCCTATTTTGTATGTTTTGATTTTTTTTCTTAGAAAAATAAATGAGTAAATGAAAAGTCTAATGAGGCACAGTAGCCAAAAAGGTATACATTTTAATTTTGTAATTGAGATACTACAGCGGTGAGAGATTCCTGAACGGGAAGACAGCTGGCTGGGGATGGGCAAGAGGGCAGCCCTGGGTGCACAGAGGGTGTGGTAGACGAACAACAGGAAATGCTGAGTCATCATGTTCCTACCTTATACAAAGGAGCCCAGGCACCACTTCCTGTTGTTTTTCATGTAGCTGGCCTTGCCCAGTGGACAGCCCTCATGGCTTCTGGCCTTGCTGCTTTGTTGCCTGGTTCCCAGTACCCTGTTTTAATGATTTTCCATTCCTAATGTTTTACTGCATGTGATTATAGCAGTCGTTTCATACATGTCCTGCTTCTTGCTCATTATCATGTTCCAAACAGAGTTTGTGTCCTACTTTTAGTTACATATCAATGCCCAGGTCTTTACGCTGCTGTGGACTTCTGGACTTGGTTTGATAAGACCATACTGTGGCTGGGTTTTCAGTTAATGATAAGGTGAGTTTTATGCTTAAGCTCTGGCATAGGCCCAAAGTATTCCAAGTTGAATATGAATGTTTGGCACATCTAGGATCCTTGCACAAAGAGTTATTTTATTTAAAGGGATTTTAAGCCAGACGTGCAGTATTCAATGTTTTTTAATCTTAATTTCTCTGCTTCCGTTTCCTCCTCCATTTCTGTTTTCTGGGGCTTCATCCTTCTGGTCTGGGAGGGAAATTTACCAAATAAAGGATAAGAAGTGGAGGAACTTTCATAATGAAAATCTAAGATCTATTTTCTGCTACTGAAATTTGAGAATCACCTTAGTCTCATACAGTTGAATTATGGTTCTTAGAAAGTTTATAATGAGATTTGCAAAAGCCTGGAGTTAGACAATGAAAAAGGGAAGAACATGCTTGGCATTTCTCAAGCTTAAAAAACTGAAGAAAAAAATTCAAGCAATACTGAAGGATTCTTTGGGCAAAATATTGAACAACACAGGAAGCATCAAAAGAACATGGAAGGAAAACACAGAGTCACTGTACCAAAAAGAATTGGTTGGCTTTCAACCATTTCAGGAGGTAGCATATGATCAAGAACTGATAGTATTGAAGGGAGAAGTCCAAACTGCACTGAAGGCATTGGCAAAAAACAAAGCTCCAGGAATTGACGGAATACCAATTGAGATGTTTTGACAAATGGATGCAGTGCTGGGGGTGATCACTCATCTATGCCAAGAAATTTGGAAGACAACTGCCAACCGACCAGAAGAGATCCATATTTGTGCCCATTCCAAAGAAAGATGATACAACAGAATGAGAAAATTACCGAACAATATCATTAATATCACATGCAGGTAAAATTTTGCTGAAGATCATTCAAAACTGGTTACAGCTGTACATCGACAGGGACTACCAGAAATTCAAGCTGGATTCAGAGTAGGACATGCAACAAGGGATATCATTGCTGATGTCAAATGGACCTTGACTGAAAGCAGGGAATGCCAGAAAGATGTTTAACTGTGTGTTATTGACTATGCAAAGGCATTCGACTGTGAATCATAACAAATTATGGGTAAAATTGTGAAGAATGGGGATTCCAGAAAACTTACTTGTGCTCATGAGGAACCTGTACATAGACCAAGAGGCAGTCATTTGAACAGAACAAGAGGATACTGCATGATTGAAAGTCAGGAAAAGTGTGCATCAAGGTTCCATTCTTTCACCATACTTTTTCAATCTATATGCTGAGCAGATAATCTGAGAAGCTGGACTATATGAAGAAGAATGTGGAATCAGTATTGGAGGAAGACTCAGTAACAAACCGCATTATGCAGGTGACACAGCCTTGCTTGCTGAAAGTAAAGAGAACTTGAAGTACCTACTGATGAAGATCAAAGACTCCAGCCTTCAGTATGGATTACACCTCAACATAAACAAAACAAAAATCCTCACAACCGGACCAATAAGTAACATCATGCTAAATTAAGAAAATATTGAATTTATCAAGAATTTTATTTTACTTGGATCCACAATCAACGCTTATGGAAGCAGCAGTCAAGAAATCAAATGACACATTGCACTGGGCAAATCTGCTGAAAAAGACCTCTTTAAAGTGTTAAAAAGCAAAGATGTCTCTTTGAGGACTAAGGTGTGCCTGACTCAAGCCATGGTTTTCAGTTGCCTCATATGGATATGAAAGCTGGACAATGAATAAGGAAGACTGAGGAAGAATTGATGCCTTTGAATTATGGTGTTGGCAAAGAAGATTAAATATACCGTGGACTGCCAGAAGAGTGAACAAATCTGTCTTGGAAGAAGTACAGCCAGAATGCTCCTTGGAAGCGAGGATGGTGAGACTTCGTTTCACATACTTTGGACATTTTATAAGGAAGGACCAGTTTCTGGAGAAGGGCATCGTGCTTGGTAGAGGGTCAGTGAAAAAGAGGAAGACCCTCAACGAGATGGATTGACACAGTGGCTGCAGCAATGGGCTCAAACATAACAATGATTGTGAGGATGGCACAAGACCGGGCAGTGTTTCATTCTGTTGTATATAGGGTCACGGTGAGTCAGAACCAACTAGAGGGCACCTAACAACAACAGTTGAATATACAGAGTTTGGGAAACTACAGGAAACAAAAATCAAATGATATCCAATTTGTAAGCTGTGTTCATATAAAGTGGAATAACAGCTTTGACAGGAATCAGAAGAGAATCCTGTTTCCATCTTTATGCTTCTGCTCAATATGAGCAGCTGGTGATACACAGCATGGTTTGGGGTTGTTTGAGGAGTAGCCAGGTGGGTGGAACAGATATTGGTGGAGGGAGGAGAAAGGAAGGAGCATGTTAGAAGTTGATAAAGCAAGTTGATGATGGATAGTGGCTAAGGATTTAGAATGTTTTTGATGGAAAGGCCCAGATGCTAGGATATTTAAACACTTACTTAAGAGGCACTAAGAAAAGTTGTATCTACTTTCACCAATGGGAAAGGGGGCCACTAAAGTGTTTATAATACTAAAAATAGACTTTACTATTACTTTGGTTTCTAGGATCTATTTTTTATTTTAGTTATAGTGAAGATCATCTTGTTGAGTATAGTAAAGATTATTCTTATTTTGAACCTAAATTTGAATTCATTATATGAATCATGTGAGATTGGAGAAGATTCAGAATTAGCTAGTGAACAAAGTCAATGGAAATGCAAACGAAACTGCATTTGGCTGTGAATGCCTCCCAAGGGGCTGGATAACTGTGAACAAGCCATTCACACCAAGGGCAGCTACTTTTCCTGAAGACAGTTACAGGGGAGGAACCTGAAAAAGGGCTTCAGGCTGACTCATATTCAGGGCACTGCCCAAATCCACCTCCCCAAAACTCTCCAGGCCAACTGTGCCCTGTGGGTTACAGAGAAGAGGCATCTGACACCATAGTGGGAACATAAGTATGAATTAGAACTAATAAGAACCCTATAGCTCAGACTTCTTAGACTTGCCCTGCTGCTGCTTCAGAGAGTATTTACAGATGAAAGAGTGAGAGAGCCAGATTACCAGGTACACTTTTCTTTTCTTTTATTCTTTCTCCTCCTCCTCCTCCTCCTCCTGCTCCTTTTTAAGCTTAGGAAGTATCAGAGAAGCAAGGCCAGTAATGCAGCGTATCTACTTCTCTGACTGAGTAGGTGGGTTACAAGGATTTGATGATGTTGAATTCGGGTCTTGGATTTTGAGTATTACCACACACAGTGCTATAGTGAATATTCTTATCTTTGAGATCATGATGGTTCCATCTCACAATAGGCTTGTTGTGAGGAGAATATAATGAAATATTGCATGTAAACTGCTTAGCACGGTGTCTGTCACAATATGTGCTTGGAAAATGGTGGTGGCAGTAGTGGTAATGGTCATAATTAACAATGATACTATTAAGAATAATATGAATACTATATAATCTTAATAAGGATAAGCAAAATAATATTTTGAAACATTAGTCAAGTGCTCTTTTTATTTCAGGAATACAAATTGGCCCTTTTACAGTGCTATGGAAGATACCTTCAGCAGTTCACTACCAACTTTGATGAGAATAAAACAGATGTGATTCAATTCAAAACTGTCTTTTTCCCAAAAGGCCTTGGAGACAAAACTGCTGGACTTACAGTAAGATGAAAGAAACTGCGAAAATAGCTACATTTTATTATTAGCTATTTTATTTGCTCTGTGTAGCATCTAGCTATGTGTTGTAAGTTGCTTAATATTAAGATAATTGCTACCATTGATTCATTGAGCAGTTACCATGTACTAGATACTATTCTAAACACATCGTATATTATCATCTTACAGCCTCACTACAGTTCTAAGAGGTGAGTATTTTTACAGATAAGGAAACCGAGGCTTATTAGAAATGAAGAAACCAGCCCACTTAGAGCAAGGGGCAGGGCTGGTGTACGAACCCTGATCAGTCTAATTCCAAAGCATGAGTTATTCCAAACTTGATAACTATTCAAGACCTCAGAAGCAACAAATGGTTAATAAGCAGAAAATCTCGAAGCATATCTGGGAGACCATTGAACAGTTCACTTTGGCTATACCGTAAGTGCATGAATGAATGATACTGTTAAGAATGAATGAAACTACTGGGCAATATGTTGAGAAATATAGGTTAGAATCCCATTGGGAAGAGTATTGAATAAAAATTTAGGAGTTTGGACTTATAAGACCTGTCCTTCACCACCCTGGGACAGGCCCCCATCTCCTTCTAGCACTACTGCCTTATCCTGTTTCCTCCTGGCCTCCCTACCTTAATGCCAGTGCATTGGTGAGCCCCTCTGTTTGGAAGGCTTTTATCCTAGATATGTGTGTGGCTCATCCTTAATTCTTTCAGGTCTCTTGCACGTACTGCTTTATTTTTCTTTATAGCACTTATTATCACCTGTTATATTTTTATTTGTTTATTTATTTACTTTTATTGCCTGCTTCCCCCTCTAGAATGTGAGCTTTACAAATAGAGGGACGGCTGTATCTCTAATGCCTAGAACAGTGCTTGGCATCTAATAGATGGCTCAGTAAACATTTATGGAATGAATGAATAAATGAAGTGATATAGGTAGAATTTTTAATCCAGAAGTAGTATGCAGACTAGATTAGAAGGAAAAAGATTGGAGACAGAAGGTAAGAGGCAAGGAAGCCTACATAAGACTGTGCCAGCAGGACTGTGTATTGGGAATGGAAGGATAGGAAGAATTCAGTTTGGGATCAGCTAAGTTTGAGGTGCTGGCAGGACACTGACACTGTAGTTTTCAATAAATATTTACAACTACAAGTTCTAAACTGTAGGGACCCTGGTGGCACAGTGCTGCTAACCAAAAGGTCGGCAGTTTGAATCCACCAGTTGCTCCTCGGAAACCCTATGGGGCAGTTCTACTCTGTCCTATAGGGTTGCTACGAGTTGGAATCTACTCGACGGCAAAGTAGCCCTCTATAAATATGTGTTGAATGAATGAGTAAGAGAATGAATGGATTAGACATTTCATCCTGTGGAAACCTGACAAAACTATAGGTCTTGAAAAAATTTTGTTACAGAAATAGAATTTGAGAATTAAGTGCATAAGGATCATAGCTGAAGCAATAATAATAAAAAAAAATTTGCTGACAAAATATTACAGTAAAGTTTTCTGTAAAGATACTTAATAGGCATTATTTAACGATCCCCACTGTATTCATATAGATTGTCATTTTGGCACAGTTGGTAAGAGTTTGGCCTCTAGAGCCAGCCTACATGGGTTTGAAGACCTGTTGTGCCACTTCCTAATTGTGTCACCTTGGGAAAGTTATGTAATTTCTTTGTACCTCAGTTTCTTCATCTGTAAAATAGAAGTAATAAGACTTACCTCAGATTATTTGATTGATGCAATAGTAAAAGACTTATTAGAACAGTGCCTGATATTAAAAAAAAATTAGGTATCATTATCTGTTTTTAAAAGAGAGAGCACTTTGAAGATAATAATTATTCTAACATATAGATACATTCAGTAAATATCTTCTTTTCTTATGCCAGCTCCATTGTAGCTAGAAATACCAAGAAAACTCAAACCAAAGCTATTGCCATTGAGTCAGTTCCAACTCATAGCAACCCTATAGGACAGAGTAGAACCACCCCATAGAGTTTCCAAAGAACAGCTGGTGGATTTGAACTGCCGACCTTTTGGTTAGCAGCTGAGCTCTTAACCACTGTGCCACAAGGGCTCCAGCTAGAAATAATGTATGCATATTCAAGCAGTATGCAACAGCAGGCCCGTTTGTGTTATTAAGAGTCTGTTCCCGTAGACTGATGATTCTCTAGCTATGTCTGTGTCTCCTCTCAATGCCACATCGATCCAATGACATGATGAACATCTCACACTCAGTGCTCAAACTGAACTCGTCACCTTCCCTCTATAATTGGCTCCAGCCAGTCACCCAAGTAAGAAATCACTGAAGACCTACCTCTTCCTCTCCCTTACCTCCCACATCTAATTGGTCACTAAGTCCTGTTGACTCAGACAGGACTCACATCTTTCCTTCCTCTTCATGCATGCCTCCAGGTCCCATGTCAGGACCCTGTTATCTCTGGATTACAGTGGAGGCCTTTGGTCTTTTCTAGCCTCCCTGCATGTAGCTTCCGCTCCTTCCCCTTTTCATCTTCTGCATGTCTGTTAGAATTTCAAAAGAGTAAATAAAATCATTTTACTCCTCTACTCTTAAAACCCTCTTCCCTTTGAATAAAGTCCATATTCGTTGGTATGTCATGGAAGGTTCTCCATGTTCTGATTCTGAGTCACCCCATGAGTCTCCTCTTAAACCCTCATTTCCAATGTTATAAAAAGGCTTTCAGTTTAATGACCACACCAGCCACTTTAAACTTCCCAAACATTGTATGTCTACCACCCACCTGTCAGTTTGTTGTACTGTGGTGGCTTGTATGTTGCTATGATGCTGGAAGCTATGCCCTGGAATTTGAAATACCAGCAGGGTCATCCATGGTCGACAGGTTTCAGGAGAGCTTCCAGACTAAGACAGACTAGGAAGAAAGGTCTAATGTTTTATTTCCAAAAATCACCCTGTGAAAACCTTATGGATCACAACAGAACATTGTCCGACCCACTTGCTTTGGACATGTCATCAGGAGGGATCAATTGCTGGAGGCGGACATCATATTTGGTGAAGCAGAGGGCCAGTGAGGGCAAGGGAGATCCTCAGTGAGATGGATTGGCACAATAGCTGCAATGGCTCAAACATGCCAGCGATTGTGAGGATGACGCAGTACTGGGCAACGTTTCATTCTGTTGTTCGTAAGGTTGCCGTGAGTTGGCGTTGACTCTACAGCAGCTATCTACTTAAATCTCTATAACATTTTGTGTGCCTGGAATGATTTTCCCTCTGCCTAAAATGGGATGTGTCTTCCTCATCTTTGAGTCCCTATTGCTTAGCAGATTGTGGCACAGAGAGGTGCTCGATAAATATTTGCTGCACAAATTGTATAAATGGTAATACACTTGAATTAATAAGTAGGTTAATATGCCACTGGACGATTTTACAAAAGTTGATTCAATTCTGTATTCTGGTAATAGGATTTCTGTACTTTGTTTCAACTTTGAATTTCTTTTGGCTCGAGGAAGCTAATCTTATCTAAATGGATCCTTTGAAGAAACCTGTCTTACCATGTTGTGTTCTAGACTAATCTATTAAATTAATTAAGCAGAATTGTTTCCACTTTAGTTTTATACATTTTAAGAAATGTTTTCCAAAGTCACACAAAGCTTATTTATATTCTTACTTGTATTTTCCCATGTGTTTCAGTTTCATGCTTTAAACAGCAAAAATATTTGCAGCTACCAGCTGGTCTGTGAGAGCGATGTAAACCTGCAGAATAAAGAATCTGTGATCCAGTGTCTGCAAATCTTGTCCTCCTTAAGACTCATCATGCAGGTGGCTCTGCCACAGGAGCACCTTTGCTGGATTATCTTAAATGGTATATATTGATGTATTCTATTGTCACTGTTACTGGTTGACAGTAATTTTTGTACTTTGTGTTATTTATTTATTTTTAATTTCACTTTCTAATTTTTATTGCTGATATATAAAAGAACTATTTTTTGTAGTCTTCGTACTCAGTGACCTTGCTAAATTCACATATTAAATCTATTAGTTTATTATGCATAATTTTTTCCTATCAAAATCACAGTATATCTTTTTTTTTATTGTGCTTTAGGTGAATGTTTACAGAGCAAATTAGTTTCTCATTAAATAATTAATACTCATATTGTTTTGTGACATTGGTGGCCAACCCCATGACATGTCAACACTCTCCTCTTCTAAACCTTAGGTTCCCCATTACCAGCTTTCCTGTCCCCTCCTGCCTTCTTGTCCTTGCCCCTGAACTGGTGTGCCCATTTAGTCTCATTTTGTTTTGTTTCAATCTTTGACTGAAGGGTGAACCTCAGGAGTGACTTCAGTACTGAGTTAAATGGGTGTCCAGGGCCCATACTCTCAGGTTTTTTATTTTTTTTTGAGTAGCCCAATATTTATTAATGAAATACAATTAGAAATGAAAAACATTCTCCAAAAGAAAATTTCATGCCTAGATGGCTTCACTAGTGAATTCTGTGAAAAATTTAAGCAAGAAATAGTGCAAATTCTATATAAACTCTTTCAGAAAATAGGTAAGAGGTACTTCACAATTCATTTAGTAGAGATCAGCGTTATCCTGATCTCTAGCCCATATAAAGATATTACAATGCAGTCAATCTACAGACTTCATGAAATCCCTCATAAGCACAAGTCTTTAACAGAATGAGAGCTACACATACACACACAGACACACACAGACACAGACACACACGTGCGTACATGCACACGCAGGGTTTATCCCAGTTATGCAGTTTAACATTCAAAAGTCAATGTAATTCACAGCTTTAACAGAACAATGAAAAAATATAGAGTATCTTGTGATTTAAATCATATCTATTCCATAATAGGATGATTGTGTCTTTAAATTTTTTATTATGTTTTAATTTGCGCTCATAAGCAGTGTCTTAGTTCCCTAGGGCTGTTGTAACAGAAGTACCACAAGTAGGGTGGCTTTAAAGAACAAAAATTTATTTTCTCACGGTTCAGGAGGCTAGAAGTCCAAATACACAGTGTGGCCCTTGTGGGAGGTCCTTCTTTGTCTATTTCAGCTTCTACTAGCCAGCAATCCTTGGAGTTCCTGGGCTTGTAGATTCATCTGCCTCCTTTGTCATTAGATAGCATCTGTCTTTTCTTGTTTGTGGGTGCATATCTTTGTGTGTAGGCTACTCTTTGTATAACTCAGTAGTGGTTAGGCTTCAGAACTACTACCCTACATAGGTATGATCTCAACGAATTGATTATGTTGCTTTAGACTGCATTATGGAAGGTGATTATATTAGATTAGATTACACCCCCAGGTATAGGGATTGGGATGCCAACATATATTTTGGGGAGACACAATTCATTCTATAACAAGCAGGGACATATAAAGCATGGCTTCAGGTTTTACACTGAAGGAAGGGTCAGAGGCTCTGGGGATGATCAGCTTGAGATGTATAAAAAGCAGGAGCCACAATGAACAAGTAAGTAGAAGTGGGAAGGATCAAAGGGTCACTGCAGGTTAGACTGGTTCTAGACATCATCCACATATTGGTTGTTTTCTGAAGCAGTTTGGCCAGTAATTTTGGCTTTCTACTTACCAACCTCCTCCTCTTACTCAGGGCTGGGATAGACTTGTTTTTGAGTGAGGAGTTCTGAGAATGTACCATTTTATTTTACTTTTTAAATGATCTCATGATAAGAAATGAATCTTAGCTATCAAAATATATCATGTGACTTTCTCTATTTTAAACTTACACCGAATCACTTACTGTATTGTATATTCTTAAAAGAAAATAACATTGTGTTTGATGTGCATAAGACCAGGATAAAATGATGTGAAAGAAAACATTGAATTTTCCCTTGTCCATGTCAAGGCTTTTCCTTTTTTTGCCCACCCAAAATAAATTTTTTGACATTTGATTTAAATTAGATTTTACATTGGTTGCCAGAGATGTATCTGACTTTTGATGAGATTTTTCAGTCTGATGATTATTAACCTTTTGTGCTTGATTACCCTCAAGAAGATCCATGATTCCCTGAGTTGCCACTGCCATCTCTCCACCCACACTGCTCATACATCTTGGTAAGGATGGAGCAGGAACAGAGATTTTGTGCTCAAGAGGGACATAGGGCTGGCCGGTTGGACCCTGTGAGTGATCTGTGCTTGAGGGGTGGAAATGATGCAGCACAACTCCCAGTCTTTAGTCTTTTTTTTTTTCATAATTTTATTTTGTTGTTGTTGTTGAGAATATACAAGCAAAACATACACCAAATCAACAGTTTTCTACATGTACAATTCAGTGGCATTGATGACATTCTTTGAGCTGTGAAGCCATTTTCACCCTCCTTTTCTGAGTTGTTCCTTCCTCATTAACACACTGCCCCCGAAGGTTCCTATCTAATCTTTTGAGTTGCTGTTGTCACTTTGATCCCATACGGACAATTCTTAAAAGTCTTTTATAGATCTCAAAAAATACCAATTTTATTCAAAAAAAAGAAAAAGATTCCTGTGTCTCCTACATTGTAAAAGACGTTTGCTTTTTATTTATACATGTATTATTGTGCTCTGAAGGAGCCCTCGTGGCACGGTGGTTAAAGCTCTTCATTGCTAACCAAAAGGTTGGTGGTTCAAACCCACCAGCTGCTCTATGGGAGAGAGATGTGGCATTCTGCTTCCATAAAGATTTATAGCTTTGGAAACCCTATGGGGCAGTTCTACTCTGTCCTATAGGGTGGCTATGGGTTAGAATCAACTCGAAGGCAGTGGGTTTGGTTTTTTGGTTTATTGTGCTCTAGATTTTATTCTGTTTCTTAAATACCTTTCCACTTATTACTGTAGTTTGAGAATCTAGCCAGATTCCTGTATGTAGATCTAGTTCTTTAACTTGGCCTGCTGATTTAGATATCCATATGCCCCTGGTGATGAGCACCTGGTTTGCCTCTCCTCTGTAACTGCACAAAAAATGCTGCAGTGAGTATCCTTGCACATGCCCTTTTATGGACCCGTGTTAGAGTTTTCTGGGATCTGTGCCCAGGAGTGGGATTGCTGGGTTGTGGGAAATACACACACTTAGTTTCACTAACTACTGTCCCTGTTTTCATTTATTCATTTGAAATTTATCAAGTGCCTATGGTGTGTCAGGCTTTATTCTGGGTGCTGGGGACACAGGAGTGGGCAGCAGACAAAACACTCTGTTCTCATGTGTAGGGAGATGATTAAAATCAAAAATTAAACTCTCAGATTACAACTAAATAATGTATCAGATGGCAGTGAGAACTCTGGAGAAAAATAAAGCCAAGGAGGGGATAGGAAGAGCAGGGATTGGGCTCAGGGTTGGGTGTGATTTTAAATAGAATGGTCATTGAAGGCCTTGCTGAGGTGACATTTGAGCAAAGACCTGAAGGAGGTGAAGTAGTGAGAGGGTATCTGGGGGAAGGGTCTTCCAACTGGGGGAATAGCAAATTCAAAGACCCTGCAGTTTTGAAACTTTGGAATTTAAGTAGTCAAAGATGTATGTTGAATTGGCCCAGAATTTATCAGAACGTTTGACCTTTTCAGTAAGACATTAACACTTACTCTGTTTACTTTTAATTGGCTATTATACATGCACACCCTTGGTTCTTAAGATAGTCAATCAATATTGGTTCTTTTATACAATCTAACTTGTTAGGTGGCGTGGAGTTGGTTCCGACTCATAGCAACCCTGTGTACGACAGAACAAAACACTGCCCAGTGTGTGCCATCCTCACAATCAATGCTGTGTTTGAGCCCATTGTTGCAGCCACTGTGTCAGTCTGTCTCCTTGAGGGTCAGTCTAACTGGGTGTATGGATATTGATAATGCCTTGTCAACTAAACTGAACCCAACTAACTTAAACCCTCAAATAGATTGTTTTTGTGGTGGCTATCTATGATGAATAGGAGTCACATGGCCAGGACATAAGCTCATATTAGGGATTTGGGTCAAAACAAAACAAAACTTCCAGAGATATCCTGAAATCATGAAGAGTCAGTCAGTGTTCCATTCTATACCATTTACTCTCTCAGCCAGGTTTCTGCAGTGGGAATTCGTAAGCAATACCAAGATCCTGAATTATCAAAGAAGGATTCAGTTATATTCAGAACTTCCTAGGGCTAGAAAGGTTAAAGGCACAGATTTGAAATACAGAAGGCCCTTGTCATTCTTGAGAGCAGTCTCCTGAAGCCTTCTTAAATTTCCCAGCTCCCCGTTACTGACATGTTTATACAGACTTCTGGCTTACACCTGAGTCACATGTTTTGTGGAGAGGCATGTTTCCTGTGCACAACCTTAGTTGGTGGTTATTATTATTATTTTTTAACAAAAGGACATAGTTATACCTTTTTTTTCTTTGACTAAGAGCAGAAGTCCACAAAGCCAAGCTGAAATAAATATGCTGGGCTTGAGCTGTGACTAGCTGAGTGTTTTCTTCCCCAGGGGATCTTAAGCGAAACATGACTTGGGGAAGTTTATGGTGCTATCAGTGTTTCAGGTTTTATTCAGTGTTTTTTGTCTCTGAATCCTGTAATTAATGTTATGCTTGCAGGTACATTTTAATCAAGTGAAGCAGATGCTGTTTTCTCAGAATCTTTCAAAGTTTAAACATGAACATAAGATTCATATTTGTTGAATTTTGATGGTTGTGGATTTTAGATCAGATATTTTGTAAAAAATATTTAGATCACTTGCATTTCAGTTACATCCATTTTTAAAGCACCATGTTCTGAGTATGTTTATAGCATGGTAATGTCCTCTGCATACGGAGAGAGGGATGGTGATGCTATCCTCCCCCTCCCCCCAACCCTGACACCAACCTTGTATCCTCACTTTATTAATTGTCCTGATGCAAAATCATACTTGCATGATCTTAAATAGGTGTTGGAAATCCTGTTTTTTATTAGAGTGCTCAGAAGATATACCTTAATAATAGGGTAAAGGTTACATGAGACTGCGGATGAATATAATGTAACCTATTATGTGTTATGATTTTTAAATTATTATCAATTTCCTTGTGCCCTGCTGATTAAATATGTTTTACAATCTTATTTAGAGATAAATCTTTAGTTTTTCAGCCATAAGAAAACCATGGGAAACAATAACATTTTATATGAATTAATAAAACCACAGGCTACATAAATTATGCCGCTAAAAATACTCTTTTGTTCTGCACGTTTCAAAATTTAAACTGCATTCAAAATGAGACTAAAAGTTCCTTATGCCAATCCACGTATTTAAAATATGGTCATGTCAGTTCTTTTAATGGTTTTGTCTACAAGTTACAAAAAAAATTCTAATGATTATAAATCTCTACCATTATCAGACTTCCTCATGAGATTACTTGTTTTAGGAACTATAGACTTAAACCATAGAACTGGACTAGAAAATTTCCACCATTTGACTATGAAACATGTATGTTAATGGTCTTTTTCTCCATCCAGGTACCATTTACATTTACACTATTTGCAGAAAACTGATGATCATAGGCCAGTCTTCAAAGGTATGAAATATACTGACAAAATATTTTTTCCCTGTATTTCCTAGTTCTCTTAAGGATTTCAGTAACACAGTACCTTGAACGTTAATGAAAATAGGAAAATTTAGTGAATTCTATAACAACTTTATTGTTCTTAGCTTTGCTTTGATAATGATCATATGCAAAAATGCAGACAGTGAAGTATTAAAGAAAGAAAGGGAATTCCTAAAATTGATAGGTATTCTACTGTGTCCCCCTGTCTCTCAGATAGCTGTACCTGTCAGATTTGTGCTGAACATCCATCTGTTTACTGATCTTTAGGTAGGGTGATCATCCATCCCAGCTTGCCCAGGACAGTCCTGGCTTATGCCTGTTCTCCTGACATAATTATTAATAGCACACCCTTTCACTCTTAAAAGTGTCCAGGTTTGGATGCTAAATGATAGGACTACCTTATTTATGTTTTGCTAAGGAACTTGGATTTCCCTTTGCTTGAAGTAACTGGGCTTTACTTATGGCCCACATGCTAGTTGGGTGAATGAAAACCTAAACTCAGTCACGACCTGAGTGCAAGAGGACTTTTTTTTTAAATAATAAGATTCTCACAACTACTCACTGCTCAGTTTTAGCTTGAGGAAGTTGCTGACACTTCTACTAACTTCTCTACAATATTGGTCATCCCTTTGTTTGTAGAAGACAAAATTATTCCCTGCATTCATTGTCCAGTCATTGGAATGTAGGCCAAGAAGAGAGAATATACTCCCATTGAGACCATGCTTGAGTTGTTGCCTGCATCTGAAACATTACCACTTTATTTTTCTTTATTGCATGCAAACCTTACCCTGAATATTCTAACACCCAGGGCAGATAATTTTTGGCCTTTATTTCCTCAAAACATAGCCAATTACATTAAATGTGACAACACTTAAAAATGGAAGCAAAGGTATTTACGGGCTCAATGGATAATATCAACTATGTGTTCTGTTTCTGTTTTGTCGCTCAAAATAAAAAGCTCTATTACTGACAGTGACTTGAACAGGCCTCGTGCCAGCTTTTAAAGTGTGAATTAAAATGAGGGAGAGACTGTCCCATGTATGATGTAAATTTGGTCTGCAGACTATTCCAAGGATTCTACATTCAGTTCCAGAAGATTTCCTAAAAAGAATTTGCATACTCCCTGTTGCACTTGCTGTAGCAACAAATACTGCTTCACAGAACCATCGCAGTTTGGTCTGCTACAGCATTTGCCTGCTAGAGCTTAGAAAGGCAGAGATGTCTGTGCCAACATCTGATTGTTAGTGTTTGTTCTTGACTAACGCTGGGAGAATTTTAATTTAATGTCCTAGTCATCTTAAAATAATTTCTTATTTATATCCTATATAAGACATCTCCCCTCACCCCCCTATGACTTTAATTTCTCTCTGACAAAATAAGGGTTGAAGGAAGATACTTCTCTAGTCCCAGTCTTGTGGGATGGGAGTGGGGGAAGTGAGAGAAGTGAGAAGTTTGGGATGGCGGGTGGTTCTAAAGTTGGCACTTGCAGAGCAGGATGAAATTTTTTGTTTGTTCAGTATAATAAGTCTCAGGGAAATTAATGATTTTCACCCAGAAATTCCCACCCCCCCAGCTGGTAAGTTGATTTCTGAGCTGAGGCTATAGATCTAAATGGACTCCACGGGTCCATTTAATGGAGAGAAGCCCTTGGAGGTCCAGGCACGTCTTGAGTCATTTTGGATTTGAAGGATTCTGATTCTGTAGCTACTTGAGAGCTTGAGTCTGTTCTAGCATAAGCCAGAAGTAGAAGTAGACATGGGATCCTCAGTGATTTCCTTGTGTCACGTCATAGCAATCTAAACTCCCATAGATACAGGATCTAGGCATTATAGTTACCGTTTGTTATTATTACCGGATCCCTACTGTGTGCTAGGTACTGTGCTAAGGGGTTTGCATATGTAATAATACTCACTACAGTCTTACGAGTTTGGTACAACCATCACCACCGCCATCATCAATATTTATTCAATGCCTACCATCTGTCAGGTGTGCTTCTAAGCATTATCATGTATTATCTCATTTAATTCTCACACCACCACTTTCAGGAAGGTTCTGTTACCCCCATTTTACAGATGAGGAAGCTGAGGCTCAGAAAAGTTAGTCTGCTCGAGGTTGCACGTCTAGTTAGAGGTGTAACTGAGACCTGAGCTGATACTGATACCACACTGCACTGCCTATCAACACCATTCTTTTAACACCTGTCTATTGACTAAATTGGATCCCTGGTGGTACAGTGGTTAAGAGCTATGGCTGTTAACCAAACAGTTGGCAGTTTGAATCTACCAGCTGTTCGTTGGAAACCCTATGGAGCAGTTCTACTCTGTCCTATAGGGTTGCTATGAGTCAGAATCGACTCAATGACAATGGGTTTTGGGTATTAACTAAATTAAATCCTGTAATGATCCATCTGATTTTTGTTTACCTACTCAAATGGAGGAGCAGTGTAGGAAGGGTTGGTATTTTTTGACATTACCCTGTATTCCTAAAGAGATCTTGATGACCAAGACTGTACAGGGGCTCTTCCTGGGTGGGAAAAACTTAATATAGCACTCAGACAGGTCATTAGCCTAAGCTGAGGGAGGGAGATCAGATTTCTCAAACCTCTTTCTCTCATGACAGTTTTGGTTTTGTTTATGGTATAATCTGTAGTTTCTTTGGTAGCATTTAAAACTGCAGTATAGTGGTTAGTAAACATTAAAGAAGACAGTAGAATCTATATACTTATTCTAAGAAACCATTGTTTTCTGTTCCATTTTACTATAAAACTGAAATTGTTTGGTAAAACATGTGGCTTGGACACTTGTCAAATTATTCTGCATACCACTACATAACTTTTAAATCCAAACCTTGAAATGCTTCTTAGTGCCATTTTCCTCAGTGATATGTTGTTAAGTGCCATCGAATCGGTTCCGACTCATAGCGACCCTATGTACAACAGAACAAAACACTGCCTGGTCCTTTGCCATCTTCACAAGCATAGCTATGTTTGAGCCCATTGTTGTAGCCACTGTGTCAGTCCATCTTGTTGAGGATCTTCCTGTTTTTTGCTGACCCTCTACTTTACCAAGAGTGATGTCCTTCTCCAGAAACTGGTCCCGCCTGATAACATGCCCAAAGTACCTGAGACAAGTCTAACCATCCTTGCTTCTAAGGAGCATTCTGGCTGTACTTCTTCTGAGACAGATTTGCTTATTTTTCTGGCAGTCTGTGCTATATTCAGTATTCTTTGCCAACACCATAATTCACATGCATCAATTCTTCTTTGGTCTTCCTTCTTCATTGTCCAGCTTTCACATGCATATGAAGTGATTGACAATATCATGGTTTGGGTCAGGCGCACCTTAGTCCTCAAAATGACATCTTTGCCTTTTAACTAGGGCTTTGAAGCAGTTTGTTAGGGTTCGAACACCTGCTAAGAATTTGCATTTCTAAACAAGTTCCCAGGCGATGCTAATGCTCCTGGTTAGGGACCAATTCTGAGAACTACTAGTAGAGCATCAGTTCTCAAAATTTATCATACATAACAATTACCTGAGGATCTTGTTAAAATGTAGATTCTGATTCAGTATATCTGGGGTGGAAATGCAAATTCTTCCAACTGGTTTGAAGCCCTGTTTTTAACACTTTGAAGAGACCTTTTGCAGCAGATTTGCCTGATGCAATATGTCATTTGATTTCTTGACTGCTGCTTCCATGGGAGTTGATTGTGGATCCAAATAAAATGAAATCCTTGTCAACTTCTATCTTTTGTCCGTTTAGTGTATTTCTTGGTCCAGTCATGAGAAAATTTTGTTTTCTTTATGTTGAGGTGTAATCCACACTGAAGGCTGCAGTTTTTGATCTTCATCAGTAAGTGCTTCAAGCCCTCCTCACTTTCAGCAAGCAAGGTTGTGTCATCTGCATATCACAGGTTGCTAATGAGTCTTCCTCCAATCCTAATGCCCTGTTCTTCATATATTCCAGTTTCTTGGATTATTTGCTCACCATACAGATTAAATAAGCATGGTGAAGGGATACAACCCTGACACATGCCTTTTTGATTTTAAACCACGCAGTATCCCTTGTTCTGTTCCAGTGACTGTCTCTTGGTCTATGTACAGCTTCTGCACAAGCACAATTTAGTGTTCTGGAGTTCCCATTCTTCGCAATGATATAAGCTGATATAAATGATGCTGCAGTACCATCTTGTGGCTGATCTGATTAATTCGGAGTCCTTTTCCTAATCAACACCCTAACCATGCTGTTGCTGGGCTCGTATCTTGGATATGGAAATACCTTAGTTTTTCAAAGATTTTTTTCTATGCAAAGAACAATGCTTCTGTAATCCCATCAATTTGTTTTTACTGTTAGTAGGAATAATTCTTTCTAGCTTTCAGAGGCAAGGAAAAATGCTGTAAATTAATAGCATTTTTAAATTAAATTTTATTTTAAAATAAGTTTTAAATTAAAAGTGCTATAAATTAAAAAGTTTTGTAAATGACTTTTTGTCTTTAAACCTGAGTGGTGATTTTCAGAACCTTAAGTGTTTTTTTGGCAGGCTTCTCCCGTTTGTCAAGACTGCACTGTGTAGTGTGAAGAGCACTTCACTTGGAATCCAAAGACCTGAATTCCAGCCCCAACATACCGCTTACTTGCAGCTTTGCCTCTTGGAGTCAGATTAGGTTTCTTTTAAGGTCCCTTCTGGCTCTAAAATCTGTGATTTAGGGTCTTTGATTCCAAACCTAAAGCCAAAACCATTGTTGTTACCTGAAGTTATTTGTGTTTTGAAATGTGAAATTTTGAATACCAGGAATCCTGAGACCTTCTGGAAAGAACGTGTGAATCTAAAGGAGTATTTATACATAGATTAACCCCATACCCCCAAACCACAACAATCCAAATGCAAAAATCCAGAATACAAGATGTTAGGGAGCACCAAGCAGATGTGAGAAAAACTCAAAGAGTTTTTGTTGACTGTTAATTCTGTATTA